GAGAAATAGAAGGAGAGAGTGAGGGGAAGACAAGAGAGATTATCAGCAGAGGAAGAACAAAAAGAAGGGGGCAAAAAAAAAAAAAGAGAGACAGAGAGGAAGCTGAGTTCTCAGTGTCTAGGTATACTTCATCTTCTTCCAAATTTCATTTTCGACTGTAATTTTCTGTGTCTCATACTAGAAATTGTTTGAATGTAGTGCTCGTCGATCACAATTATCGTCTTCCTTATAGAATGAAGAGTTTCAAGTTTATGTTTTGTGAAATCTATTCAAATCCCCTTGCTTTAGTTGAGACGCTATTAATCAGGATTATATTTTGTTATGGGTTGCTTTTGGCTCTTTATTATTATGATGTCATTTCATCATTGTTTGGAAGCATTATCCTTTCATTCTCACGAAGTTCACTATTATCTCATAAGGTTATAGGATGTTCATGAGCAAGTGGTATTCATTTGGTTAATAGATGTCACGAAGTTCACTGTACTGCTTCCTTTTGTTCATTTTATTTCTCTATTTTTACTGTCTTGATCCGAGCTAAGAAAGGGAATCTAGTTAAGCTTTATCTCCTTTTTGTTTGTTTTGTTTACTGCTTGAACTCTAAATCCTAAATCAAACAATGAGCAGAATAGCTTTTCAACCCGATGTCAACGGTATAAAGGATAATGCTTTCAAAGGATGTGCAGAATAGATTTTGAAACAGATGTCAACAGTAAAAAGGCAATTGGTTGATTGCTTGGGTGTTTGCGCTCTGTACTGTTTAGCACGTATTTTGCAACCGATTGCTTTCATTTGAACCAATACAAAATGTGATAAGCTTGGTATGTATTTTTCTCTTATGTTTACTGTCTGAAAAAACAGCTTGCATACCCTACACCAGTCTTGCATATTCTGTTTCTTATTTTACATTTCTAAAGGGTCTGTTGAATGTATTTTTGGTGTGCTTGGTACATTCACATGGTCAAAAGTATAACAGATAACAAGAATAGTAAATAGTAACATGAAAATTTTCAAAAGATAATGAGAAATAAAAAGAGTGACTTTATCTTGCTGGCTTGGATTAAAATGATATGGGAAATCGTGATGTCCATTCTTCTGCCAAGCATGAAGCAATGGAGAATTTTGAGGAGATGACCAATGGTAGAATTCAACTAGGTTTTTTAGTCTTCTTTCCATTGTTTCTTATTTTTTATTTTCAATGTATTTTAACCCGTAATTCCCCATATGGTTCACAAATATAATTATTAATTTTTAGATTAATGTCATACTCACACATCAGAGAATAGTTAAATTATTGAGAATGCATGCAAAGCACTTTTAGTATACAGTGAGGTGCCTCACACCTTCGTGTCCTGTGTTATTTTGGACTCAGATCTCGGATTTTGACAAATGTACTATTTAGCATCTGATTCTGCTTCTAGTCGGATCAGTGACAGCTCCTTTTAATTGTAAATTTTTTTAAAATTTATGTTTCCAGGAGTCCTTTGCCTCGTGTCGCTCCCATTGTGACACTGCCAATAGAGAAGAGGGGACGGACATTGATGCTCATAGCAGCAGGAGTTTCACTTTTAGATAGCTCAGCTATACAGAGTTTCCGCTTCCCAACATGCGTGCTTTAGCAGCCCAGCTTAATACTGTTATGATCCCTTCCACTCTTTCAACTTCCAATTTGCAGGAACATTCTCAGTTTTTCTGTTTGTTTCCTGATAAATTGCTTTATGAGTTTGTTATAATTCGTGCATTAAATATTTTTGCAGTACTTCTTTAGAAGAAATTCTGGGTATTTGCGGTCTTGCAAGTTTTCATCCTTTAATAGAAAAGGTTTCTCTTTTTCTTAGCTACATAACTGATTCTGTTCTATTTTTCTCCTCTTTATTTTCATGCTTCTCTTATCTGTTTTCCTTTGATCCATAAAGATCAACCTAGAGAACTGCATGAATATGATACTTTACATGAGGAATTTGTTGGAAGTATTTAACTTTTTATGATTTGTTTTTTAATTTGGCTTGCTATGGTCCCATTTTTCTCACTGTTGAAAGTTGCTTGAATTTATAGATGAACTGTCTATGGAAGAGGAAGCTGAAAGGAAAATTGGATGGTTACTGAAACTGATTTTTGCAGGGACTGCAACAGTTGTTGCTTACCAGTTCTTCCCTTACATGGGTAAGTAAATTTCTTTCCACTCAGTATTTGACTACATTATATTCTGAAAATTGGTTGTAAAATGTAAACTCACCATTTTATGAGATCATATTGCTGAAAATTGGTCCTGAGATCAGCATTTGGCTGGATTTTATTGCTGAAAAACCTATTTTTCTGATACGCACACTGCTTTGCTGTTTCAGGAGATAATTTGATTCAACAGTCTGTATCACTGTTGCAAATCAAGGATCCTTTGTTTAAAAGAATGGGAGCTTCACGATTGGCACGTTTTGCAATAGATGGTTAGTGTCCTTTTCTGAACAGAAGTGATACAGTTTTAGAACTTTGTCGAGAATACTCGAAAGATACCTTTTTTTCCCTTGATAACTTTAGGCAAATGATGCAGTGTTATATAGCTACATTGACTACGTGGCATTTAGAAATGTTTGGGAAGAACAAAACCTAAGATTTGGATCCTACCTATAGATGCTACCAATTGAAATTAATAGAGCATGTATCAAATATTTGCCATTTGTTATTTAAAAAAAATAGGATTTGCCAGTTGTTTCTTGACTGCATCTCATATAATATGTTTTGGTCTCCTTTTTTTTTATTTCATAGATGAGAGAAGAATGAAAATAGTGGATATGGGTGGGGCTCAAGAGCTCTTGAATATGTTGGGAGCTGCTAAAGATGATCGCACACGGAAAGAAGCTCTAAAGGCTCTTGCCGCCCTCTCGCTCTCAGGTTTGTTTTGCTTTTTTTTTTTTTTCATTTCTGTTAAAATATACACTTACAGGATCACATTATTGTTGCAAATCAGGCAGTGCATCTATAACATGCATGTATAGGCAGATATGTTTAACTTTTCATTTTTTGTATCAAATTCTTGTGTCATTATAAGTCTATGAGAGGCTTCAAACATTGGACTCTCTCAAAATCCTTCCTAGTCCTTATTTCCATGAATTGATTAAGGTGTTTAAGTGGGGCTGACAGAATCTTTCAATGTTTGAGGCTTTTTTTCCCATTGCAAAGAGGAGGGTCAAACCATAGTTGAGTTGAGAAATTCCTATGGTTTTTAAATAAATGCAGATATATTTCCTAGGTTTACATCACGAATTTCTCCAAGAGGTTTCTTTCCAAATAAATAAGCTTGATCCTCAACTCTCCATTGAATACGCTAATAATTTTCTTGCAGTGTGTTAAAGATAATGAATTCTTGGGGATTCATGATTTGTTTGTGCATCTTTTGTTATGAAGATGACTTTCGCATTGGCCTTCCAAGTATAAAATAATTAATTGTTCTTTTGAAATAAAAGTATAAAATAATTAATTGTGTTAATAGTTTCAAAAAACTCTTATGCAAAATAATTAATTGTGTCAATAACTTAAAAAAACTCAGAAAATGACTCAATCTATTACTTACAGATCAATACACTCCCTCATGCACAAACTTGCTAGGTTGGAAGCTTGACGAGCACAAGTCCTCCATGGCTTGTGCTGAAATCTAAGTAACTGAAATTGAAGGTGGCAGTCAAGATTCAAATTGTAAACATTTGGCTCTCAAACTATATGAAGTAATTTAGTATGAGCAATTATTCTAGAAGTGTAAGTTAATAGAAAATATTCACTCTATTATTTATAGAATAACACCAAAAATTGGCATGTCGAAGGTAATAACTCAAAGAAACATTTTAGTTGTTTTTGTAGAAAAGCAAAAGGTATATTATAAATTGAAACTGGATAACGTAGAATATCAAGAAAAAACCTAAAACATTGCCATAGAAATAGTTAAATGAAAGGTCATTGCCAAGTAACTGCTAAGCTCATGCAACTAGGGCATATGGAAATCCTTGCTGTTAAACTTAAGTTCCTAGATCGTTTACCAAGGACGTTTGAACAATCCACATTTTTTTTTTCCTTTTCCTGGCAGATGGAGCTGTTGATACTTTACATCGAGCTGGGGGAATCTCAGTCGTTAAGTCTATTCCAGATTCTATTGAGGATGCTGATGTTATGAAATACAAGTCAAGCTTGCTGAAAAGATTTGAAGACTTAAGATATCATACACCGTCTTGAGTTGTGGTAAAGTATTTTCGGGTTAAAAACCTTTTCTAAATGTTGCAGGAGGCTAGAGTTTTGAGGGATAACTCTCTTGTATCTTTCTATTCAATTGAATAATGTTTCACTTACTATAAAAAGTCACTAAAAGTAAGATAATTATTGGGAGATATGATACATCTAAGAGACCTTAATATACCCACCTGAGTTAGAATCGATTTATATGGAGTGCATAGAATGCTCCTAGCAGACCCTAGTGCTTCCATTGTACTGCAAGCAAGTTAAATTCTGTATTCGCATAGAATATCATGATCCTGCTGCATGATTGCATGCTCACACCAGATCATTCTCATCTTCAATCAAAATAGAAATAGAAAAAAAAAGAAAATTAATCTCAGAAAGAAACATTGAAAATCAATTGCTTTTCATACCGGCTATGATTAATTCAGTCAAATATAAAGGAATATGTAAGTTGTATCTGCTTTTGAAGATTGCCCTAAACCAATTTGGTCAATTAATGAAAGAAGCATACCAAAGAGTGCCTTGAAAACACTATCCAGACTGGGATAATTGTGGTGAGATGAACAAGAAAATGGCATGAGAAAAGTTTTTCTAAGATTTGAAAATCCCATACAATCATATTCAATTTGATGGAATTGTTTCATTTTAATCGAGATTTTCTATGATTTCGCGAACGAAGGGTTATTTCTTGGTTTCATCTATTCGTTAATAATTTAATTATTTTTAGATAATAATAAATAGAAAGAATGTTTGTAAGCAGTTCTATTGAAAGTAGGAACAGATTCAAATACTTATAAATAAGATAGTTCAATCTTTGTTAAAACGTATTACCGGATTATCCCCCTGAAGTATGAAGTTCTCTTTCCAGGAAATTTTCTTTTACCTAGCCAATATAAGATATATAGAAGGATACAGTCTTCTTTAATCATGAAAAAGGATTTTATCAACTAAACTACCTACTATACATCAATTTTCTTCTGCTTTCAAAGATAAAATTATCAAGTGAGTGCCTTACCCATTCTTGAAAGCTTTCTGGGAAACTCCATGGCAACTCCTCAGCCTTTCTAATAATTATCAGTGAGAATGATTTAATGCTATACATAGTCTGTGTTTTACCTTCTTCCACGGCTATGAACATTTTTGTACACAAGTGTCCTAGATTTGTGTTTTGGTACTTAGTACAGCTTCTCTGTGTTGTTCTAACGTCCTTGGTCATTGATTAATCAAAGAAATCTTCTTACATATTTAGAGAAAGAATCAAGCTAAGCTATATTACATAAATCAAACACCGACGAAAAATTCACATCTGCGCTGGAAAATTGAAGAATACAAGCACTACAAGATCTTCAATGCAAAAAAGAATCATGACTTGTTGCCCATAAAACTGTATATATTGGTGGAAATTGCAATTATGCTTGTTGCAATAGCCAGAACTATCATTATCACCGCTATAATTCTATCCTTGGAGGTTGATATGCCATGAACATCCCTGTCATTACAAAAGACGAAAATAAGAATCAGAATAATCCGATTAACCACAATTTGATCGATAGGCAAAGTGCTCTTCTGGAAAAGTACCTTAAAACGATAGCGCCCGGGAAGATGAAAGCGAGACAAACTGCAGTAGTTGATCCCAAGAACTGGAAAAGGTACCAAATACTTGGGACAACAATGGCTAAAAGGTAAGAAAAACCGAGTAGACTAACTGTAAGAGCGACAAATCTGGGAGTGTCTGTTGCCAAAGGAGGCCTCTTCGGGAAAAGGAACTCGTCCAGGTTCGATCTTAAAGAGAAATTCAAGAGAGGATACACAAGAACAAGATGCAATGCATAGCTTAATCGGACTATGTCATTAAGTAATGAGCCTACAGCAGTATCTGAATTTTGATCGAAGTTAACAAGTATGTCCTCCATGATTGATTCTCCGAAAAGAACGTACCCGAAAAGGCCTATGGTGAAGTATATTGCAGCACATAACAGCAGCGAAATTCTCACTACTGATATCATATCAGAAGGCTTGCTTAGTTCAGACCCAATTGGATGAACTGCAGGAATGATCAAAAAAGCACTTGTAAAGACACCAGAACTGATAATTCGACAGACAAAAAATTTTGCTTGTTCTTACCATTAAAATGAAATGTGAAAGCTGTAACGATAACTGGGACTGCAGTAAACAAGTTTAAGAAGGAAACTCCATTGTCCAATTCAGGAAGCAGTCTCGGGTTCTTTGTTTTGCCTTCCACGAGTGCAGTTATTGCCAAACCTGAGGTTATACCGACAAATATAACAGCCAGTAGAACAGCTACTGCCGAACTGCAGCTCAATGATTCTGCGGAATGAAAAACAGTCATCATCGCCGTATCTACTTAAACCTGATCGTATAATGATAGATATTATAACTCGAAACATTCTACTCTATTACCATTATAAGACTTATGTAACAGCTGAAATCTAAATACCAGACAAGAGGAAACCCGAGGGGGAATGAATTACCTACACGCCGGAGTAAAACCAGTGGAAGCATTACGAAGATAGTGATGAAAAGCAATGCGAAAACCCGCGAATTCCACCAATGAAATCCGAACCATTCTTGCAGAACACCCAGATGAACAGATCCTTCAGGCTGATTCCCACATAAAACATCCCCTGACAAAAAAAGAAACCAAAATCTACCCATTAAAAAACACAGTACTAATTCAGATCAAGACAACTAAAACAAGCTTCTTGAATCTTAAGCACTCACCAATGATGATCAAGTAAACAATCAAGCATCCAAGATTAGTGATCATCACAGATATTTGAACAGCAACAGATCCTAGCCGTCCAAATGACTCCCTCATGACACCAGAATATGTAGTGGAAACACCAGAATACGTAAATCTCATCAAGAATTCCACAGAGATATCAACCAAACAGCCAACAATCACAATCAACACAAAAGCTGGAATCACACCAAGCACTTTGAGGGTGGCTGGGATTGACATAATCCCAGCTCCAATTATACTCGTGGATACATTAAACACAGCCCCGGACAACGAAGCTTGCCTCCCCGGCTTCCGGTGGTCTGGTAGGAGCGGAACCTCTGATCCAGATGCCGGAGACATTCCTCCGGCAAGATTGAAAAGTAAGTTCTTTTCTTTTTTCTTTGTTCTGGGTATGTGTTATAGCATGTAATGGTAGAATAATGTTTGTCATATATATAATAATACAAGGTTCAAACCAAGATCAAATGAACTTGAGTTGTTTAATGACCAAAATCAAATCATTGGATTGATAATTGGAAAAATTAAATGAAGGAGAGAATCGGGATTGGTCTGTTTAGGAAAATTGTGGAGACGACAGGTTGGAATCATATGAAATCTTATAAAAGAAAATGTATATGGACGGAAAAAGAGGTGGTATGAAGGGTCCAGTTTGGATGGCCAAGAACCAAACAGGAGATTGATTGTCTCTCTGTGTACCATGAATTTAAAGACATTAACGTACTAAAAAAATATTATATTAATTTTTATGACAAAATTACTTTTTAATGTAATTATACAAAAAAGTTGAAGTTACATAAAAAAAAGAGAGAAATTTCCAAATTAATTTCATAAAAATTCTTAATTTATTTGGAATATAAGGTGTAAATTGAAGTTAAAGTTGTGATCATTGAAAAATCAAAGCTAAAATTAGTAAACAGAGACAGAAACCATTAAGACATAAGATTTAGAGCTTATTCATACGTACCCTAAATCCAAAACTTGAAAAAGACCTAAAGCTAATTATAAATTCAATCCCATACGTAAAGATTCAAGTTTATCAGACATCCGAGCCCACTAACAAAATGGTACGTCTATGTCTCTGTGTGTGTGTCTTTATGTGTGTGTGTGTTTTTGTATGTACACATCTATATATAGGATAAAAATATATGTATATGTGTCTACATGTGTATACATATGTATATATATATATATATATATATATATATAGAAAGAGAGAGAGAGAGAGAGAGAGAGAGATTTGAAATCTCGCCCGAGAAAATTGAAGTCATGCTGTGAGTTCCAACAAAATTTCAGAAAATGGGTTGAAGATATCCTCCATGTTGCTTTTTACGGCTAAATTTCGACAAGTTAATCTTTGATTATTTGAGATTATGTAGAATCAGATTTATTAATATATAATTATAGAAGAGCTTAATTATTTGTATGCTTAATAATCTAATTAATTGTTTAAGTATACCCTCTAGCTAATTAACAAATATATCTCTCCACTTCAACGAGAAAGAGACCAAAAAAGTTTGATAATGCACGTAATCTTAAGTGGGTCCAGCCCGTGTTATACAAAAAGATAATATATATATATATATATGACTGTACATATAAGAGAACCGAGTAGAAAAAACTAGTCCAGCCGGTATTTTTTAACAGTGAATTTGATTCAGAATCATGGTTTTTCCCTTCTAAATTGCAGAGATTAGCACAAAATTTTGTGTTCTTATGTTTACTTTTGCACTAATTTATTTCAAACTTGGTAGTTAAATTTTTCTATAATTGAATTTAATTAAATTTACAGGATTGATATTATCTAAAGTGCAAAATACTATTCATCTTTTATCGATTCATTGAATCCGAAATCATCGATACAATTTGTACAAAGGATAAAGAAAAAGAAGAAAATTAACTCAATTATCGAAGATCGTATCCGAAATAATTTACATATCTCGATTTGAAATAAGTCATCTTGATTTAATTAGCTAATTGCTAATTTGGACTTTCTTTTTCCAGTCAACTCAGCAAGCTTGTGTAAATTGCAACTGCACTTGTCATCACAGCCAAGATAATCACTAGTATTGCAACAACCTTATCTTTCTTTGTTGATATTCCATGTACATCCCTGTTAAAAACCAAGAAAAGTTCTCTTCAAATTTTCAGTAAAATACTTCAACTAAATCGACGTATTTAAATAATTTAAACAGGGTATTTTCGGGAAAAGAAATCGAAGAGTGGAGGAAAACAAAGAGAAGAGAATTTGTACCTTAAAACAATTGCAGCAGGAAATATAAATGAGAGGCAAACAATGGTTGTGGATCCCATGAACTGGAAAAAATACCAAATGTTTGGGAGGGCAACAGCTACTATGTAAGTAATTGTAAGCAAACCACAAGTTAAGGACACAAATCTGATGGTGTCTAATGCCAAAGCAGGCTTCTTTGGGAAGAGAAACTCATCAACATTTGCCCTTAAAGAATAGTTCATAAGGGGGAAAACCAACGCTAGATGGATCGCGTAGCTCAAACGAACTATGTCATTGATTACTAGGCCGATGGATGAATCTGAATTCTGATCGAAATTCACCAGCATATCGGGCATGATGGCATCACCGAAGAGCAAGTAACCGAAAAAGCCAATAGTGAAGTATATTGTAATGCAGATGAGTAAGGAAATTCTAACAGCTAAGCTCATATCAGATGACTTCTGAAGCTCTGCCTTTATTGGGTGAACTGCAGTTCATTGACAACAAAGTATTCTTTCGTTATGAACTACACTATATATCTGTTAAGTTTGTAGATAATCTCTTCATTTCAGAATATATTAACTTACCCACGACATGAAATCCGAAGCCTGTGACGAAAATCGGAATTGTTGTGAAAAGATCAAGCACTGAGACTTTGGTAAAGTCTGGTATTAGTCTTGGATTCTGTGTTTTTCCAGTCCATAGAGCATGAATTGCCATTACTGAGCTTATCACAACAAACACTATCGCAAGTCCTATGGACACTGCTGAACTATGCCTCAGCGAGTCTGCAATTTTGCAACATAACCCATGTAAATTCTTACAATTCTTATATATATATATATATATATAAAATGTTAATGTTGAGGAAATTAAATCATCAATATGCACAATCACAAAGTAATGAGTAAAACAAGAAAAAATATAAAATTTACAGAGTTCAACAAGTATCCCTACAGCTACAGGCAAAACTAAAGAGTTTTTCCACTCCGATGAAAAATAAGAGTACATCACGTATAGAGTTGTATATCCTTGTACACACATAGTACTAAAATTTTCCTTAAAATATTCTCTAAATATACACAAAAAATTCTCCTAATCATGTCAGAAAGTATACGACTCAATCAATTGTACATTTTAGAAAATCTTGGTTTATTAAGAGAGAAATCGACTTACCCACTTGGCGTAACAAGGCCAATGGAAGCATAACAAAGAGAACAACAAGGAGAATCACAAAAGCTCTTGAGCTCCACCAATGAATTCCAAAAAATTCTTGTAAAATTCCTGTATGTATGCTTTCTCCAGATCGATTTCCACAAAGAACATCCCCTAACATAATTGCAATATAAATAACTTTGTCAAAGCAGGATTAATTTGCCCTAAATCAACACAGGGCCAAATGGGAGGACCCATCACCCATCACCCATTATTGATAAGATAAGAACAAGAAAAAGAAAAAGAAACCGAAAAACACCATTGAAGAAAATCCCAGAAGCTTACCAAGAATAATCAGATAAATCATGAGGCAACCAAGATTGGTAACCATGACACAAATCTGCACTGCAACAGACCCAAACTGTCCAAACGACTCGGCCATTAACCCACCATAGGTGCTGCACTTTCCAGACTGAGTGAACCTCAATAAGAACTCCACCGTCACCTCCGTGAAAAACCCAACAACTAAAATCGCTATCAAGCCGGGAATGACCCCTAGCGTCTTCATCGTGGCCGGAACTGACATAATCCCGGCGCCCACCATTGTCGTCGAAATGTTGAACACTGCACTTGACATCGTTGCACATCCTGTAGCTTCTTGAAGGAGAGGGATGCCAAGGATTGGATCTTGGCTGCTGCTGTTACTCTTCCTCACCATGCTTGGAAAAATGGTTCTTCTTTTGACTTTTGATGGAAAATAAAATGGTGTTCTTCAATTCCAGGATTCGGGACATGAAGAGATGCCATTATAGAAGAGAATAATTTAATTGTTAGATGTTAGAAAAATACAAAATATAATAAATTAGTTGATGCCAAACAAAATGGTATTGTTCAAATATATTAAATATATTGCTGAAAACAAATAAAACTTACTTAATTTCGTATGCAGAATTTCAAAGTTTGTTGGTAGATAATATTGGCACATAAGAATTGAGTGATGAGTGGAAGTTGTCCATTTCTTTTTTGGACCATATGTATATATATATATATATATATATATATATATATACATACAATTAACAAAAGAAAATATGAAATGGGTTTTAGTTTAACACATTAATTAATAACTAGAATAAATTAAAATACAAAATTTTAAGCATTCCTAACTTTCTATTGTTGAAAAATATATTTTTAAGCTCTTAGGATTATTAATTAGAGAGAAAATTTGATCTCTAATAAACTTTTAGAAATGTCACCTACCCTTCATTTTAATATATAATATATACATATATACATTATGATATTAAAATCTAACTAAAAAAAAAAACACGTGCTAAATAAATTACAATAGTCAAATATTTATAAAATTTTAAATAATGATAAGATCAAATTTATCTAATGCTTATCTACAAATAAAAAGATTTATACAGTATTAATTAAGGAGATAATTTAAGTATTTACTTAATTATAGAATCCAAGTTTATGATTAATTTGGGATTGTTTGTATTTATTAGTTTGTTAAAAGTGAATTTAAATTCATAGTTTGATCTGTAATTATTTTTTAAAAAATTTTAAAATTTACTTCATAACTTTTGTATTATTATAGTTAATTTTATACTTATTTATTTTTTAATTTGAAATCATGATTATAATTTATATTAAGGATGACGATAAAAAGAAAATTAAGATAATTATTAAAAAATATATACGAAATAATCAATATCTGAATTTGAAGTAAATCGTCTTGAGATCTAATAGCTAATTTCTAATTTCTGACTTTCCTTTTCCATTCAACTCAGCAAGTTTGTGTAAATTGCAACTGCACTTGTCATCACAGCCAAGATAATCACTAGTATTGCAATAATCTTATCTTTCTTCGTCGATATTCCATGTACATCCCTGTTAAAAATCAAGATAAATTCTCTTCAAATTTTTCGTAAAATACCTCAATTACGCTGACTATATCGATCCTTTTACGTGCTTAAATAATTTAAACAGGGAAAAGAAATCGAAGAGTGGAGGAAAACGAAGAGAAAAGAATTTGTACCTTAAAACAATTGCAGCAGGAAATATAAATGCGAGGCAAACAATGGTTGTGGATCCCATGAACTGGAAAAAATACCAGATGTTTGGAAGGGCAACAGCTACAGTGTAAGTAATTGTAAGTAAACCACAAGTTAAGGACACAAATCTGGTGGTGTCTAATGCCAAAGCAGGCTTCTTTGGGAAGAGAAATTCATCAACATTTGCCCTTAAAGAATAGTTCATAAGGGGGAAAACCAATGCTAGGTGGATCGCGTAGCTCAGTCGAACTATGTCATTGATCACTAGGCCGGTGGATGAATCTGAATTCTTATCAAAATTCACCAGCATATCGGGCATGATGGTGTCACCAAATAGCAAGTAACCAAAAAAACCGATGGTGAAGTATATGGCAATGCAGATGAGCAAGGAAATCCTAACAGCTAAACTCATATCAGATGACTTCTGAAGCTCTGCCTTTATTGGATGAACTGCATTTCATTGACAACAAAGTATTCTTTCATTAGAAACTACATTACAATACACCGTGTATATGTTGAGTTCGTAGAAAATCTCTTCATTTCACAGTGTATGAACTTACCGACCATATGAAATCCGAAGCCTGTGACAAAAATCGGAATCGTTGTGAAAAGATCAAGCACTGAGACTTTGGTAAAGTCTGGTACTAGTCTTGGTTTTTGTGTTTTTCCAGTCCATAGAGCATGAATAGCCATTGCTGAGCTTATCACAACAAACACTACCGCAAGTCCTATGGACACTGCTGAACTATGCCTAAGTGAATCTGTAATTTTCAAGTATAATCCAATATGTATCACGTAAATTCTTTCATTCCTTACAAATATATACATATATACACAATGTTAAAATATTATATGACTCAATGAATACTGGTTTATTAACAGAGAAATCTGACTTACCTACTTGGCGTAACAAGACCAATGGAAGCATAACAAAGAGAACAACAAGGAGAATCACAACAGCTCTTGAGTTCCACCAGTGAATTCCAAACAATTCTTGTAAAATCCCAGTATGTATGCTTTCTCCGGATCGATTTCCACAGAGAACATCCCCTAAAGAATTCGAAGTTTGTCAGAGTAGGATTAATTTGCCTTAAATTAACACGGGGCCAAATGGGAGGTCCCATCCCCCATCACCCATTCTTACAAGATCAATTACAATTTGAAAAACACCATTGAAGAAGACATTAATGGCAGAAAAATCTTGGAAATTAAGAATCCTAAAAGCTTACCAAGAATAATCAAATAAATGATAAGGCAACCGAGATTGGTTATCATGACACAAATCTGCACTGCAACAGACCCAAATGGTCCAAACGAGTCGGCCATTAACCCACCATAGGTGGTGCACTTGGCAGACCGAGTGAACCTCAATAAGAAGTCCACCGTCACCTCCGCCAAAAACGCAACAATCAGAATTGATATCAAGCCGGGAACGATTCCTAGCGTCTTCATCGTGGCCGGGACAGACATAATCCCGGCGCCGACCATCGTTGTCGAAACGTTAAACACTGCACTTGACATTGTTGCACCTCCTGGTTCATGATTAGGTTCTTGGAGGAGTGGGATGTCAAGGATTGGATCTTGGCTACTGTTATTCTTCCTCTCCATGCTTTGGAAAAATGGTCTTCTTCTTTTGACTTCGGATGGAAAATAAAATGGTCTTCTTGAATTCCAACACTTCGAACGTGAAGGGATACCATTATAAAAGATAATAAATTTAATTAAAAAAGTACAAATTATCATAAATAACTTGTCAAAATAATTTTTCAAATACATTAATTTGGTATGCAGGAATTCCTGGTTTGTTGGTAGATAATATTGCCGCGAAAAAAAAGGATTAAAAAAATCAAATAAAGAAATTCAAAATAATAAATAAATTCCCAAAAAATGAAAAAAAAAAATTGTTTATCCATTTAATTCGGATAAGATTAAGAAATATGTTTAAATTAATATTTCTTTTTTTGTCAAAAAAAAAAAATAAACCATATATATATATATATATATACACACACACATTAACAGAGGAAAATATTGAATTGTTTTAGTTTTAAACATTAATTAATAATTAGAATAAATTACGATAGTCAAATATTTATAAAATTTTAAATAACGATAAGATTAAACTAATCTTCAATTATGGATATTGAAATTGGTTTTCTGGGCTGCCCTTTGGGCCATCGCGGGTCAAAATAACCCGACCCGTAAGACTTTTCCAAACGGCCCAACCTTGACATTAACAATTTTAAGGATATTCACTTTTCCTTCTCAGCATCAACAATCTCCGTCGTCATCACGGCAACTACTCTTCATTTTCTCTGCTGGGTTTTTCATTTTTTCTCTTCAACCAGCAAAAACATATTATCTGAAAATAGAAAAATTTTAAAAATCAATTGATTGGGAAAAAAAAAAAAAATTTAAGGAAAAAAGAGACGAGAAATTGAGGGACAGGAAAAATGGGGGATCAGTTAGCTCGAGGAGAGGAATTCGAGAAGAAAGCCGAGAAGAAGCTTACGGGTTGGGGATTGTTCGGCTCAAAATTCGAGGACGCCGCCGATCTCTTCGACAAGGCCGCTAATTGCTTCAAGCTTGCTAAATCATGTATGTATTTTATTTTTATTTTTATATTAATGTTTGTTGGCTTCCGTCTGTCTTGTCGTTGTTGTTCATTCTGTGGTCTGTTTGTTTCCCGAGAAAAGTATTGCGATATTATATCGCGGAAACAGAAACATCGGATCTTGTAAAGGGATTTGTTATTATCGCTTATGCAAATTGTCGATGACGCATGTTTTGATGTTGATGAGTTTCTGGTTATCCGATTTTCGGTAATGCGTTTCGAGTTGGTTGTTTGGCTTGTCTTTTTGCTACTTTAGGATTTGTTTTCCGGTCATTGCTTAATGATCAGATAAATAGTTTGTGTTCTTTTATCATGCTTTTGGGGTTTTTCATGTAGGGCTTATTTTGGTTGGTTTTCGATGGAAGGCTTCAATTTTAGATCTTATTAATTGATGATGTGTGATAGATGGGAGAGTATTTTGGTGTGCAATGATTTGTTTGACGTGCATAGGTTTCAGAATGTGAAATTAGATGAAGTGTTTAAAGAACTGACACTTTGTTGTAATTATATCAATTACAAGTTGTTCTGCAGTGAAAAGGAATTGACTGAAGTAACTAAAAATCTTACAAGTTCATTTGGTGATTTTGATTGCTAGTATTACTTGATGAAACAGATTTTGGGGGATTCGACCTTTTGTTATTGGATCATTCGATTCTGACCTCTGAATGAGGAGTTAAACCTTGTTTTATAGAGGATACAGACTGCGATTTACTCATCATCTATTTTTATTCTTTTAGGGGATAAAGCAGGAGCAACTTATGTAAAGCTGGCTAACTGTCATTTGAAGGTAACTTATTGATCAATTGGCAAATTGTACCTTTACTTCACATTCTATCTACAAATGGAGTATTCTGTAAACTAGCACAATGATGTTGATCGTCTTGTTTTTTATCTCAAAAACAAATGTTGATCTTCTTGTTTGTAGTTGGATAGCAAACATGAAGCTGCCCAAGCTTATGTTGATGCTGCACATTGCTATAAGAAAACTAATACAACTGGTAAGTACAGCGCTGCTTTACTTTGTGGCTTTTTAGCGGTGGCAAATATAGATATTTAGGACTAATATGGTTTTTCATTAATGTGTTTGTTATGTTGATGTTGGTATTACATTCTTTGGATGTTGGTTGCCTAACTGTCATTTCTTACAATATCGATGTTCTTTGCATCTCATATGCTTATTACATCTCTAGTATTTGGTTTCCTCTGGGAATATAACCTCATTGGAAATTTATCTTCTTGCAGAATCCATAGCTTGCTTGGACCAGGCAGTAATCTTGTTTTGTGACATTGGACGGCTAAGCATGGCTGCAAGATATTATAAGGTACTTTAAGCTCTTTGTGATGGCACATGTTTGTTAATTGTTTCTTTTTTTTAGAGAAGAAAATGACTTGGGAAGATTGCTCTATCCTTTTTTCCCATCCCCCTCTTTTCTATTATCTTTTTAAATCTAGGGGTTATTGCAAAGAGTATGGTTTTAAGAATTTCTATGAACATGTTATGACTTGTCACTTTTTTTAAAATTCAGGAAATTGCGGAGCTTTATGAGTCTGAGCAGAATCTAGAGCAAGCTATTGTTTACTATGAAAAATCAGCTGATTTCTTCCAAAGTGAGGAAGTAACCACTTCTGCCAACCAATGCAAGCAAAAAGTTGCCCAGTTTGCTGCCCAGCTAGAACAGTAAGAGCACCTATTCTTGCAGAATCATTATGTACCATTGCATTTAATCATCTTGGATCTCTCATTTGTACTAAGTAGTATGCTAGTGCAAAGTTCTTTGGTAAGAGGATAAAAAAAGGTAGATATACATAATAATTACTAGTATCACTGTAAATATTAAAATGCTGTTTCATTTATAATTTATTATTTATGCAGCTATGTTTTATATTTTATGGTTGATTTATCATGGTATGGCAAATCTTTAAACTGGTACTTCATATAGGCCAATCATGTCCGAATACCATGCATGTTTTGGCCACACATCTTAGGAAGGCCTTGGATGCAATGCAATCACTTTAGAACTTTTAAGTGAAATAATTTCACAGGGAATGTAATTACATCCTGACTCCTACCAGTACGAATGTGGTAGAGATGGTGGTCCAATTATCTTAACAGTGCCGTCAATTTGTATGTGATATTGTTACCAGGCTTCTAATCACAGACTGTCGTTGATAGCACATACAGTTAATGCATATATTTCTTATTTCATTTTCTAATGTATTTTTCAAGTAGTTACAGGATAATCATAGCAAGAAGTAGGATGACAAAAGAGAGCTATGAAATCCATAAACATTTCATTTACCTTAGAGGGATAATATTACTTATTAAATAATGCCTGAGAAAGTGCTGAGAAGAGTCTGCTTTTTTCTTCTTTGAGAAAGAGGGAGATGGAGGTTGACAAGGTTGCTAACTGGGATTTGAATGACCTGCTTACAATATTATTGCAGATATCAGAAGGCAATCGAAATTTATGAAGAGATAGCAAGATACTCCCTCAACAATAACTTACTGAAGTATGGAGTTAAAGGTCATCTTCTTAATGCTGGCATTTGCCAACTCTGCAAGGGCGATCCTGTTGCCATAACTAATGCATTAGAGCGATATCAGGTCTGAATTTTACTATTTTTCTTCCATTATGAAGTGTCTAAATCTAGTCTTTCCACCACCTTTGAAAATCTAAATTTTTTTTAGGTCTAAGAAATTTCAATGTTCAAGTTAATTTTCATATCATGCTAACTTTTTGCAGGATCTGGATCCAACATTTTCTGGAACACGTGAACAAAAACTCTTGGAGGTGAGTGATGATTGGAGGATTTTTTTTCCACATTATCCACTATGTTTTTTATCTCCTTATGGGAGCTTTCTGTTAGCAGATGGTTGTTAAAATATGTTGGATATCAAATAGTTCAGTTTTTTCTGCTCTTTTTTTCCTTTAAAAATGTTTGTTATGATTAGTTTGCGAAGCATTTTTAATACTGATGTTGCTTCTTGTAGATGGAACTAAATTAATGATCTGGCAATCATGCTGTCTTCTTTTTATCATTTTCATATAGATAACTTCTTTTGTGTCAGGATATTGCTGCTGCTATTGATGAAGAAGATGTCACAAAGTTTACTGATGTTGTCAAGGAGTTTGATAGCATGACCAAATTGGTACATCCTCTTTACCGTTAAAACCTCTTCTTATTAAAGCAGCAGATAGAGGGTGTTAAGTTTGTTGGAAATAATAAGACATAATTGCATTTAGAATATTATAAATGATCTGCTATCTAGCATAATGCACTCACCAGTGAAATTGTAACTGTGGAAATCTTTCAAAATGTGTTTTTTCCTTTCTTTTTTTCAGAAATAAGGTTGAGGTCAATTGTTTTAAAACTAAAGTCCTTGTTGGACAACTTACTTCGTAGCACTGGAATTTAGGCTTTGAATTCAAAGACTAATGCAGAAGAGTAAAATGAGGCTAATCATGGAGGGAAAATCACTCATTAAACAAAAATCTAGTGCCGCTGAGAGCCATGTTTAAATATTTATCTAATTTGAAAAAGAAAAGGCTAGATTTGATGACACTTCTGAATAGTTTATTATATAGTTCAGAAAATATCAATTTTATCTGGTCACAGCCACACATAAATCTTTTTATGTCTCTTAGAACTTTAGATTTGATAATAGAGTGATGCATTATGTGTCAAGAATAAATCCCAATTACCTACTTTCCCTTCTACAATGTTTCAATACTGCTATTTTCTGATGATATTACTCCGATGCTGGATGTTGTAGGATCCCTGGAAGACAACGCTTTTGTTGAGGGTAAAAGAAATGTTGAAAGTCAAAGAGATGGAAGAGGATGATCTTACATAATAATTTTTATTTCAATATGTGCTTCTGGCGTTTGTCTGGATGACTGTACTATTATACTATGAGCTTGTGTTGACTTGCATCACTTCACAGCTTCTGCCTGCTTAAAAAAATGCATTTGATTTGAGTTTTGATCAGTGTGTTCTTGAATGATGAGCAAATACTTTGTAATCAAGTGACAATGTTTTCTTATCTTCTCATATCCTCCTTTCCGCTTTCGTATGAAAGCGAGAGTGAGATAAAATGCTGGATAAACTCGATAGGGTTGAACCCAAAAGGTTTATGGTCTTTTTTCTTACCGCCTTTGTTTGCTGGTGAGATCCTGGTCTTGGTTGCTCCTAAGTGATAGAATTAACTTTACTCTGATCTTGGTATGTTTCATCAGATTTTAGAAAGATCCAACTTGGGTGACTTAAATTCTCCTAACCTGGGTTTATATGTATAGAACCACGAGGTGGTGGTCTCAGTGTTGAATATAAAGGGTAAGTGCTTATGAAAAATAATTATCTAATTTCTGCCCTTTTAAAAAGACTTGTTTAACAGGGGAAGGCTTCCTCCTTCATAAAAGATACAAGATTGTGTTAAATTTTTTTTTTTTCAATTTATTTACAAATTTTTTGTTGACTTTGTTATGTATAATTTTATATAATTTGTTTTATTAAATATTTATATCAGCACTAATTTAACTAAAAATTAATGCAATAGAAAATAAAACAAAACATAAGTAGTTAGTTGGCCTCAAAGAGTGTCCCGACCAAGCAACTACCAGATTGTTCTCCATTAAATATTAAAACTTTATTATGTTTCAGATTACAACTAATTGAAAATTCATACCCAAAACCATATGATTTATTATTTGTACTGCCCTGCTATTTAACAATTTATTTGTTAAATATTACCCATTTAGCTTCTTAAATACAAAATATTAACACATAACGGAGTACGTATTCTCTGTCTGAGGACATACTAATTAATTGTAATTTTTACAGATATTTTCAGCTTCCTTCCTTCCTTTTTTATTTTTTATTTTTTATTTTAATATACGCGTATGCCTGCTGCTCTGTCTCTCCGCAGTCAGTCAGCCGCCCACTAGCTCAACTTGGTCGCCTTTGGAGTCTCTGCCAACCAAGAGCTTCACTTTCATCACGACAAAAAGCAAGTTACAAGCCTCTTAGAAAGGTGGATGAACAGTTTCTAGCTTTTGCAGTTACAACTTTTTTTTTTTTTTTTTTTTTTTTTTTGCTGAGGTTTTGTTCAGCCATTTCTGCTGATTAAATCCGGTTGCTTTAATGGAAGAACTTATTATACAACTAGCAACAGTTTTGACGGAGAGAAACACCCTTTAAAGTTTCTTACCTCTTTTTCTTTTGTCAATCCTTTTAGGTATTAGTATATACTTTTCTTCTTCATTAGGTTCTCATCTTGACTTTTTTATTTTTCTTTGCTTCTTCATTAGGTTTCTCATCTTGAATTCTTTATTTTTCTTTTTTCATTCGTGATATGCATAAGCAAGTCCAGCTCAGATTCTTTTTCTACCCTCTTATTTTTTCTGGGTGACTTGCTTTATGGGTGCTTTTGGGAAATTCTTTGTAACGAATCTGTCTCGGGTAAGCATCGATCTTGACCGGTTATGGGAGCTGAGCAACTGAAGGCTACTGCATCCTTCGTCTTTTTCCTCCTTTTTCTTTTTGTTGTCTGATTGTATTTGTCTGTTGGGTTTGCTCTAATTCATCAGATTCTAGTCTTTGGTTGTGATTGTTGTTCATCACTTGATTTTACTTTACTGGGTAGATTCCTTGAGTCTCTCTTAATCATTTGACGGCCATGTTAGTTTCTGATGGCTGCAAAATCGATAATATGTTTCATCTGGTTTGGATAATTCTAGCAATTAGAATTAGTCTGTGATGATGTCTCCCTGTGTTTGGTTATAAATCTTGTGTCTTTCTTGTCCTGGTTTTATTTTCCTTGAGGAAAGCTTGATTTTGATTTATGGCTGCAACTGATAATGGGAATCACAAAGAGGAAATTGAGGTCTCCAATGGTGGAAATACAAAATTTCAATCGCCTTTTGATGCCCCAACATCTAGAAGGATGCTACTGCGAGATGAGGCCCATGAAAGAAAGCTACAGAAGGTCTTTTCTCCTCTCCATGAGAGGATAAAGTTCCTTAAATTTGGCTCAGCTTCTGCCAAATTCAAGAGGATAGCTGTGGAGAAAGACGAGGTTTCACGTTCAGTGCCTTCTTCCAGTGGCCATGGATTGCGAGAACGCATAAACGGGGTGTTCACTCGGAAAATAGACTGGATTTCACTGATGAAAATGTGCAAAGAATGGATTAGGGACCCGATGAACATGGCTCTTTTCGTGTGGATCACCTGTGTTGCTGTCTCTGGAGCAATTCTGTTCCTTGTCATGACTGGCATGTTAAACCACGCTCTACCTAAAAAGTCCCAGAGAAATGCCTGGTTCGAAGTCAACAATCAGATTCTCAATGCACTATTTACACTCATGTGCCTCTACCAACATCCAAAGAGGTTTTATCACCTTGTACTTCTTTGCAGATGGAAACCAGAAGACATTTCCAAACTTAGGAAGATATACTGCAAAAATGGGACCTATAAGCCTCATGAATGGGCACACATGATGGTTGTTGTTATTTTACTCCACTTGAACTGTTTTGCTCAGTATGCCCTTTGTGGTCTAAACTTGGGCTACAAGAGATCAGACCGACCAGCAATAGGAGTTGGGATCTGCATCTCTGTTGCAATCGCTGCACCGGCAGCTGCTGGTTTATACTCCATTATCAGCCCTCTTGGGAAGGATTATGATTCTGAAATGGATGAGGAAGCACAGGTTCATGTTGACGCAGGTGAAGAGAAGAAGCCTGAGCAATTAATATTGAAATCATTGGAAAAACGATATTCATTTGCAGGGATGGATGGGGAGGTGATAATTGAAAACAGACCATTGTGGAGTGGTGGGATATTTGATTTTTGGGATGATATTTCTCTAGCATATCTCTCTCTCGTCTGTAGTTTTTGTGTCTTCGGGTGGAATATGGAGAGACTTGGGTTTGGGAACATGTATGTCCATGTTGCTACTTTTCTGCTGTTTTGTATGGCACCTTTTTGGATTTTCAACTTGGCTGCTGTTAACATTGATAACGAAACAGTCAGAGAAGCTCTCAGTCTAACTGGCATTGTGCTATGTGTTTTTGGCTTACTCTATGGTGGATTTTGGAGGATTCAAATGAGAAAGAGATTCAATTTGCCTGGATATAACTTTTGTTGTGGCAAGCCAGCAGTTACTGATTGTGCTCTTTGGCTGTTCTGTTGCTGGTGTTCTCTTGCTCAGGAAGTCCGGACAGGGAATTCCTACAACATAGTGGAAGATAAATTTTGCAAAAAACAAGCGGATGAAAGCAAGCATTTGCCAAGGTCACCTCGTGAAGATGAGGTGATTGAGCTTAAATCTGGCCCGGCGACTCCAATTGAGAACAACCCCGGTTCTTCCAAGTTTATCGTAGCTAATTCTCTGAGCCTAAGCAGATTCTCGAAGGAAAGTAATAGTCCAGATGGGCTTTCTGTGGTGAAAGAAGAACCTTACATATTAGGTAATCATGAAGCTATGACTCCACCTGCTCCCCCAATGATAGAGAGAAGAGACAGCTAGAAGGGAAAATAAAACTATACCATTTATTCTGGTGTCTGATAAAGATATGGACTGGTCCATGTAAATTCATGTTTTTGAGCACTTTTTAGGCACCATATGAGTCATGCTTTACGTAGGAGTTTCGATTTCAGTGAGAACTTTTGTCAGTATGATAATACATTATTCTGATTATTTTTTACCATCTTTTTTATTATTTCTGTTCTTTTCCCTCTTTGTTCCTGCTCTAAATCATGCATAAACCAAACCAACTGCTTGACATTATGGTTGATCTTCTCTTAGGCTGTCAGTATGAATGTGAACTGTAATCTTGACTCTGTGTAGACCAGGTGAAGGAGGTTTGTTTTTCATTGAAAGAGAGGGAAAAAGAGGTGGAAGAAAAGTTAAAAGAATTTTTTTTTCAAGTTTTATTTAGAACTTCCATTTTTATTATATAGCCCTTGGTTTGCAAGGATAGAGAGATTGAGATTATTAGCATGCAATGCTGAAAGATTTCAGATTTAGAAAAAAAAAAAAAAAGAAAATGAGGTGTTGAAACTTTTCTCGTGTCTACTGCTATCATGAATATTCGTTTAAGTTGAGAAGGTGATGATGTTCACAATACAGAAGAGTGAGTTAAGTGACAAAAGTTTGGCATACGTTTAACATGAACTGTAAGTTACACGAACCTTAATGGAGCTGAAAGCTGATCAGGATAGCTGATCAAGATAGAGTTGTTGAGTCCAGCTGAAGTTCTTTTTTTTTTCTTAGATAAAAAGAAAGTGTATTATTATGTAATTGACACCGAGTGGGTGTCGTCCCTGTACAAAATATTTAGAGAGTCCAGCTGAAGTTCTTGGCAAAACTTCATGAAATTCATGTCCTGAAACAATCTGTCTCATAAGCTCATTTCTTTAAATCTTAGCATTGGAAGCTATTAAGTGCTTCATTAAATTCTGATCGGCTCTAATTCATAATTTAGTTTGAGAGTTGACCTTGGATAATGCAGACCCAGTGAATCATTCTTTATCTAGTACCTATAATTCATGAAAGTGGGTGTTTAACCCGATTCATCAAACGTTGAAAAATCAGCTGTGGTCCATGTTGCTTTGCTAAACTTTAGAGAAATTGCTAGTTTCTGCTTTTGTCATCAGCAGCCTGAATTGCCAGAGAGACTGAAGGTTGCTACTTTTCTTTTTTCAATTTCCCTTCATTCAGTTTTTTCTTAATGATTATTCCAATTGTAATGCTTTCTTTGATGGAGAAGCACTCTGGCATATGAAACAAAAAAAGGCCGATTTCTTATGCTTTCTGCCATGGAGAAGCACCTGGACCTGTTTTACAAGACATTTCACACGTGCAAGTTTCCCTCTGCGCCAACAAGTGCATGTCCACACGCACAGAAAACGCGTATAAGCGATTATACAGCTGATTATTGAGATGATACATCACTATCATGGCCAAAGGCTTTCAAGCCACCCATCATTGTTAATATGTCTGCTATGAGCTTCATCATTGGTCTTAGGTTTCCTCATTTCATGGTTGTAAAACTCTGCAGACCTGAATTACAGTAGATTTCATATCTTCCATTTGTTTATGGCTTTCTGTGTTTGGAATATAGAATAGAATAGTGCATGATTAATCTTATCTTGTTTAAAAGTTAATTATGACAAGAAGATTAGTGCATCATTCTGCTTGATGACAGAGAGATAGAACTCTGCCGAGTCTCATCCCAACAAAAAGGAAATGACAAAGATGAGACGTGGATCACACTGGTGGAGTTTTTGTTTAATTCTCATTCAATTCTTAAACCTTTTCAAGTGAAGAGGTTGAATTTTTTACCATTAAAGGATTCAAGATAAAAGAATGGCGCTGATCATGATGAACTTATGGGTACACCTTTTGTAGATCTCTATATAGCTGTACCTGCCATCTACCTCAGACTTTTTGGTGGGTTTGTTGCTATTCTTGGTTAGCCTGTATTATATGTATATTTCTATCTGTGCATGTATGTGTGTGTACAATATATATATATATATGTATGCTGCACGTGTCAGGCAATGGAGGATGATTGGTGTTGAAGCAATGGAGCAGTTTGATTGGTGTGGTGAAAGAAGACGATATCGTCAGAAGCTTACATTAAGTTTTTGATAATGGTGAGATGCAGAAAACAGCAACCAGACCACGACAAAATACAAGTGGAAGACCATGAAAGCTCCACGCCCTTCCCTAAATTCTTCCTTCTTGTTTTCAACCTGTTTTTTCTTTTAATTTTTAATATTTTTTAAAAAGTTAACTTCATCATTATCTTGGTTGATTAGATCATCACCAGGTGCATGCATGAAGACATACATACATATATATAATAATAATAATAATTAGTGTGTTTCGTAGTTAAATTTAATTAAATCTCAAAGAATTTATTACGTCATTAGTCATAATATATTAAATATTTAATGTGAAAAAATTAATTAAAAAACAATTTTATTGCTAAAATAGAAAAATCAAAAGTCAAGAGTAATTATGAATTGAAAAGAAAATTATCCCAAGTCATTTCAAACGTCATAAATACACTCTTTATAAATTGAAATGCAGTTCCACAGTTTTATATATATATATATATATATATTGTTTCAAATTACTATATTTAATAAAATTACTCAATTTAAAAGGAAACGTATTTTCTTAATTAAAACTAATTTTGAATATAATTCTATAAATATAATTCTAAATCCAGTGGATACCCAAAACACCCTCCACATTCAATTAAGGATAGCCGTCTGATTTTAATCATGTGGCCAAAATTTCCAATTTAAATTACTATAATGAATTAATAAAAATAGAATTAGAAATATAAGGCCAAAATTAGAGGTCAATTTTTGTCCCTTTCTTTTCTATTAATGCAACCCTCCTCTTCAATTTTTTAGGATGCATTACCCCTTTACCCAAAAAAAAAAAACAAATATTAAGAGTGGGCTCTACATTTTGCACTAGAAAACACCATAAATTAATTATTTAACGTATATTCAATTTTATATTTAATTATGTATAATCTTTATTTATTAATTGTGCAATATGTATCGTTTAAAATCTTAATATTCAATGTGATTCACAATTTTTTTATTATTTAAATTCATACTTTAAATCTCAATGCAACATGATGGCATGTTTACAATATATATATATATATATATATATAATAATTTAATTCATAGATGTAGGGGTAAATGAAAAAGTGAATAGGCTAACATAGTCTATTTATGTTATTTATCAATTACGCCAAGACTTAATTAATTACTTTACACTTCTTTTTTCCACATATCATAATTCGTACAAGTAATTATTTAGTTTAGCTTGCGTGATCATACTATTAAATTAATTTTGTTACATCTATTTTTTATTATATTTTAGTATTTGATGTTTTTTTAATATCAAACCACATTTTTTATTTTTAACAAAAAATTAAAATAATTATCATGCTTTTAAAACTTTAATATTGTTTTTATTTTTATTTTATTTTTTTATCAACTTAATTAATTAATAAAATTTATTTTTTAAAATATTTTTTTTAAAAAATTTCAAATATTATTGAATTATTCTAATTTTTTGGTTGAAAAATAAAATATTTTTTAAATAAATAAAAATATTAAGAATTAAATTAAAATAAAAAAAAAAGTTATTAACAATAAAAATGAAAGGAATTTGGTAATTAATCTAAAAATTAAATTAATTGCATAAAAATTTATAATGAGGTCAACAAAAGTTGGCTTGACTTTTTCCTCACGTTTATTGTCCCCCCTCACCAATCTCATATTACGTGGATCGTCTTATTGTCTGCCACGTGGATAGTCAATCTATTTGGTATCCCCAAATTAGCCTTCTTTGTTGGCATACAGAATGACCAAAAAGACCAAAGGAAGATGAAACGAGTCTAACATTTTGAATTTCATTGGTGTACGTAAAAAGAATACGATAGAAACGACGTAGACAATCAAAACCCACCTTCTTCTCGCCTCTATATAAACCATCTTTTCCTCTCCGCGTAAAGTCTCACCAGTCCCTCCTGGTTCTCATTTCGCTCTTTCTAGAACTCTCACCATCTCTCTTGAACTTCATTTTCTCGTTTTCATTTCTTTTTATTTTTGTTATTGTCAAGAACTGGCTAACCCGCAGGAAAAAATTCTGGAGGAAACCGAATCCAAGAACCAAGTGGTGGTTCTTGCCCTCTATGAGGCCTTAAGATCTCGAGACGTGGACACAGTACACCAGATCCTAGCTCCAGATCTCGAGTGGTGGTTCCATGGCCCGCCTTCTCACCAGTTTATGATGCGCCTACTGACCGGAGTGGCCGCCACGTCAGCATCCGACTCCTTCGAATTCGTCCCTCTCTCAGTCACCTCCTTCGGCTCCACTGTCATCGTCGAAGGCTGCGATCACGCGCGCGCAATCTCCTGGGTTCACGCCTGGACCGTGACCAATGGGATAATTACACAGGTGAGGGAATACTTCAATACTTCTCTTACTGTCACCCGCCTAGGTAACAGCCAGTCCTCACCCTCTGATTACCAATCTTCGTCCTCTTCATCAACGGTGGAGATCGCTCCTCTGCATTGCCCGTCCGTTTGGGAGAGCAGTTTCTCCAATCGGGTCGGTAAATCCGTGCCGGGTCTGGTCCTGGCCATATAAACAAAAAGAAAAATCAAACCCCGCCACAAAATCACACTCTCGAACGAACCTTCCGATCAGCTACGGATAATATATAAAATAAATAAATAAAAAAAGGAGTGTGTACGTGTCAGCTCCTGGTTGGTTCGTAACTGATGGGCTGAGAATTTTAAAAGACGAGAGATGTGAGCCATTATAGTAAGGCGGTGTTTGGGTTTTAGGTTCTGTTTGGTTTCGCGTTTTATTTAATCCGTGTTTATGTTTTTGTTTTTTTTTTTTTGTTTTCTAGTGTGGTTGGTGTTTGCCAGAGCATGATGGGGATGAGTGGAACCAAGATGGGGATACCCAGTTGGCCATTTCCTGGTGTGTCTGCTCTTTGGTATCTTAATTTCATTGCTAATAATAATGATTTTCTCATGCTAATTACTTCTTCCGTATCTAATCTGAGCAAAAAAAAAAAAAAAAACAAGTGGTGGCAGTCCCCAAAACGACGCCGGATAAATGTACAATTAACAAGGTAGATAATTAAATTATTAGATTGTGCTAACCGAATGTGGATGTTGATTGAAGATGAGGATGGAGCCACGTCAGCACATATATTTGGATGTTACTGGGGGAGCCACAAACTGGAACATATGAAGCACTTTTAAGATCAGAAAACCTTCAACTTATGGATGAAGTTGCCCCTGGCTATGACCCACTTAAATTTTGGACAAAACAATTTTTTTAAAAATATTTTACAATAATCTAATTTAACATAATAATTATATTTATTAAAAAAATGGTACTAATTATTAATTACACAATATTAATAAATTATTAAAATTTAATTATATGATATTTAAATAAAACAGTAGTGTATTGTTATTTTGAAAATACAGAAATTATGTATTATGGTGCCACAAACAGGCCGCAGGGATGGCTCTGGGGTCCATTGTTTTCTGGTGGTTAGTAATCCACCAAATTGGAAAGAGCCCGCACTGTTGGCATCTGTTTGAATGAATAGTCAAACATCACGTCAAAGAAATTAACTCTAACAGCTTGATCCCTGATTCAATTTTGGATTCATGTGCATACATACATATATATATATATATATTTATTTATTTATTTATTAAATAATTAAGATTGAATAATTTTATACTTAAAATTATTTTAATTTTAAATAATACGATATTTTATTTTTATATATATCATCAACTACATGTAATTGATTCGAGAATTGATGCACTACGTGAAATAGAAATTAAAGAAGAATGTCAAAGCTGGGTGTGATGGGTTTTTTTCCTTCCCTTGATGACGAAGTTTGAGTAATTATATACTAAATTCAAGGGGACGTGCACAACATAATCAAATTGTCCGTAGCAAATATCAGTCACTTTTATGTATACATGCATATACTTATCCCTATGTGTATGTGCCCACTAACAAATTATTATTACATATTAATAAAAATCATACTCAGTG